AAAAAAGTGAAGGGGTGATGCATCGTGAAAGTCTAGAGGGAACATACCAGATCCTTCAAAATGCATTTGCTCGATCTCAACATGATAGGTAAGCGACCAATGGTCAAATCTCGTTTGATGACTCTCTGGCTTCCACGAGTGTACTCGACATCGACATTTATGGGAGCTGCGTAAGTCATATCTCTCAACCGGCATTCTTGCGGAGTGATTTTGTCATGTATCTGAATCGAATAAGTACTGATGAAACACCTCATCGAAGCTGCACAAACTAATCTGGGTATACAAAATCTTATGTAGATATCAACTGGGAGCTCTGCGTTTGAACCACAAACCAACCGGCAACCCATACAATTCATCCAAAATTCTATGAACCCCACCCAACCATCCGCCAGTCTCTGACCACACCTCGTCTGGACTTTGAAGACACCGTCCATCCCCAATTGAATTGAGATTTTGATGTTATACAATGGAGGGGCCCCTAATTAGTAATCGCCCAGGTCCCGCTGCAAAAGATAAATTCCAAAACAAGAAACCGCTCCAGATGGTAGAAGATCCGCGTTGGCTCCAACCATACGTGGATGGTCCGAAAATGAAGCCCAAAATCCATCTTAGTGAATCTAGGGTTATTACCATAAATCCGCCCTTGATTATGATCCAGACTTCCATTTTTACCCTAAAGCCCCATTTTGAATTTTTTATCTACAGAGTGCCGACGTTGATGGGCGAAGCCAAGGTGGCTCTACCACCTACCGACGCGGTTTTCTCGCTTCGAAATTTATTTTTTGCAGCCAGAATTGAATGAAGGTTAGTTAGAAGCCCTCCGTTGTATGAACAAAATCTCATTGCCCTCAACTTGGGTGGACGGTGTTCGAAGTCTGCCAGGGAATGATAAGAGCTGCCGCTTCGAAAGTGGCTTACTCGAGTCTTCCAATCATTTTCCACATAAGAAATTCAAACACCCAAAAAGAAATTCTGTCTGCACATACCTGATTCAGGCCTTCTTCGCTGGATGGTTTACCGACGCGTATGTCAAGATACCTAGAGTGAGGAGCGTACAGAAACGGATGTAATGATACTTTTGAAATGACTTACTTCAAGTAGAAGTTAGGGTTAGCATCACTGGTGATCTTCTGATTTGCTAACATGATGGTTTTTATCTCTTGATTAACGAAGTAGTCGAAGCTCACGATGTGTTGCTTGACAAGGCCTCGAACCTGCAAGATTCACCGTAAAACTGTACAAAGTCCACATACTATTTTAGTTGAATCCGGAATGCTTCAAAAATTGTTCATACAGAGTTCGTATTAGTTACGTTTACGTCATCGCTTCTGGTGCCAAAGACCAAAAAGGACTCGGCAGGGTTTTCCGCAGAATTTCGGAAAAAAATGGATCGTTAAGAAAAGCAAACCTTCAAGAATGCTGGAACCAGTAACCATTTCTCATCAAGCGGTAAAGACTTCTTTGACTGAAGTGTGGATAGAATTGCCATGGTTCCCTTTTGAAATGCTGGAAGAGGAGTGGAGATATTAGCTACATTTACGCGTATAACAACTAATTAACTCACCTATATAAGTTTCGACATCAAAAGTTCATCCGCTACCTCGTCAGCAACTCAGTTCGTGGCGATTACTGGAGTTCAAATGAGGCGACAAGCGCGCTGGTTTTCGTGCTCGGATGCACGCTTGCTGCTCGGATGATAATCCCGCCGCAGCACGTTTTGCAGCGTTTTTTTTTTTCAAGTAAAGTTTAGAAACTTTTCTCATTTGCCATTTGTCCTGAAACCTTTCATTTCATCAGATAGGACCAATATCTCCCAGCTGTTTTACTAAGTAGGTCAGTACGACAGTGGATTTCACACCTTGGTTTTCAATTTCTTGCATGAAATGCTTCTCTGCTACTCTCATTGCATTTCTTTTCACGTTTTTACAGTTTGCTTCAGAATAGAAGCAATCATTGGCATCTCAGTTCTTCGTTTATCAATAACATGCTGTTCTTTTTTCATCATTTTCCTCCACCGTGCGCCGTACGGGATGAGTCACCTCATCGACCGATCTGGTTGTGCTCACTCAGCACACCCACAATCTGCGAAGCAGTCGCTTGCTTTATGGGAAGTCAGCTTCTTTGGCTGCTACAATGCTCTCAGTCATAAAGACCACGTCCTTTACAAGCTCTGAATAGGCGGCTAGCCTTGATGTGACATCGTGATCTCATGATTTTCTCATTTCTGAGCCTCGATAACACAACTTTTCCAACTTCTGACACAACTTTTGCAATTTCGAGGTCTCGGTTGTGAACCTTTGTAAATCTAATCTTTGTCCTTGACGTATCTGCGTCAATCGATATTCCTTTGTCATCTACGGGTGACACATTCGCCGTCGCATGTGCGATTGCGACTTAGATTTAGTGCGATCTCATACTGTTATTCCCGGATTGTTGTAGTCTCTTCCCTGTACTTTGAGCATTAACAATTTTTTGCGGGCCAAAAAATTTTTGCATCTGTTTTGCTATCTCTGACTAATTTTTTTTACTCCTTAAACCGCTAATTTTTCGCTTCCCTCAATATTACAAAGTATGTATGCCGATCGTCGAAAACGAACGGAATACATGTACAGGCAGTTCCGGATTGGAACCCTGATTACG